ACAAAACACAGATTGGTGACTCGAGGATCCTTTATTCTTGCACCAATATGGAACCAACCGTGAGGTTATTATACACAAAGTCTTAGAATAAATGTCACAACAATTAATCGCAATAATACATCTGATGGTGTTTCTCCATCTTCTAACGAACAGCGTACGATGGAACGATGACTGCAGTATCAGTGACTCCCACTAAAATATGGAGTTGGTTTTGAGTAAACAACCATGAATTGATCGTTCGTTCTTCAACTAAATCAATATGGGCGCATAAGTTATTGCGACATCCTGACATAGAAAACTATGTTGCATCTATGTAACTGTGGTTGATTGAAATCTACTTATGTCTACAATTCAGACCACACCAAGTAATAATACAACATCGGCTCCTCACCAGAAGCTATTTTTTATCGCTGCGCGTCACTGAATATGTGAGGCGCTATTCATGTTCGTAAACAGCCCTTATCATGCAATCAATTCTGTGTTTGTCGTTGCTAACGAAATCAGTCCTTACTGACGTGGCTGAATTTATCTGAATCTTAGAAGTTTTCTGTAGTGACAAGCTATTTAATTCATTAATCACATTATTGATATCAGGCTGAAAGTGCATATTTAGGCCTAGGATATATTTTCGTATTCCTGGCTTTTTATGGTACGTGCTAGCATTTCGAACTTCGTCTGCTTTGGTCTGAGAAATAATTTTCATGCACTTTGTGTTTAGGGTCTGGGCATTTTAATTATTTGTAGAGATTTCCATAGATGTGTTCGCTACCGAGTTAGAAGAATTGGTCTCCAAAGAGGATATCCACCTTCCTGTCATTCGTAGCCGATTAAGCGTCACTTTAGACTACCTAGTGGCCCGTATCTATGTTCTTTGTAGGTCATCCAGTTTTAGGTAATAAACATGTCAAAGGCAGCAGTGCATAAGCATTAAAGAATAACTTCTACATTTTCCGAACGCGAAATTTAGGAGAGATAACTCGATCATCAACTCAGATTAACTGATAGCACAGGTAAAGAGGTTGCTTTAAAGTCTCAGTGTTTGAGGGCCCGAAGCCACGGAAATTTACTAACTGCTGGTGTCCAAAGTGATTAAGTAATATGAAGATCTAAGAACGACTGATCTCACCTCATACTGAGGTGAAATTTCAGTTTAAATTGGAAGAACCAATTTTTCTTCTGCAGGTGAACTCATACCTTTTGTAAAACACATTCATAGCTGACCTCTTCTAAGAAATCAGTTTACGGAACGAATGAAATGTGTCCGAACTACATCATTTAACTGGATTTGAGGACTGGTTTCGCAGGCCTAGAGAATTTACGGACATAAATAGTTGGCGGCAGAGACATGTTATAAGCTAAGTGGTCATTTTATTAATGCTTCACAAACATACACAGCAGCTACGATTCGTTCCACAAATGCATGCAATGACTTCTTGTGGAATATTTCGGTACTAATGGACTAAACACAGGAAGTGGGAAAGACGCCGAAACACCGGTACCTTTCACAGACAACACGACAACAACAAATATTATTGTTCCCAATTGAGCTCCTGGCATTTCATCTTAAAATATCAGTTTGCTTTAGATTTAGTTCCTCTCTCTGGAATGGTTGATTCGTGGTCAAACCAACTGGCTCAGAGAATGTCAAAATCACCCACCTGGGCTATAAATCTTCCCTTTTATCGGTCTTTTGAGCTATGGTAACGAAGGTTAGAGAAGACATATTACTGATATTTGGACAATGAAGTCACAATTCGGTATATTCGTGTGCGTCGGTGGCACAGTGGTTAGGACTCTCGTCGACCGTGCACGTGGTCCGAGGTTCGATCCCCCGCCGACGCACACCCGATATCTATGGTCGGCCTGCAAAATTTGGGCTACTGATATCCATGCTGAAAATTTCATGCTTGTACGAAAAATACAGTGTGGAATCAAGCTGTAATCAAACATAAAACTCTTCACATCACTTCATCTGGATATATATCCCAAAGCAGATGTTAGCATGACATTCCTCTTTTGTTGAGCGCTGAGGATTCTGGGCACGGTTTATGGGGCTTATTAGGCTAGCATGAGCAGCCAACTAGTTGTCTGGCCAAAGCTCAGATCAGACGGGATTGATGTCGTTCCTAGTTGTGGCCAACAAAAATTGAGCTGACAGACATCGGAGCCAAGTGGCTTATAAGCCTCCTGGACTATGTATATAAAGTCTGTTGCTGCGCATGCGGTTCCATTGATTGAAAACCAGAACATACCAAGGAGCTATGAGGCTGTTATTGAAATCATTACAAGACATATATCTGGTTGTTGAAATTTCACGTGTGAAACATTCTGAGTAAAAGCTCTGTTATTGCATCTTTATCTGTTGCATTTGACGCACATTAGGTTGTAAACCCCGCGCTTAAAAAACTGGGCGCACTCAGGTCACAGCTTTATTCAAAACCATAAATTTATGCATAACAGCACTTTGTGTTCCACAATTTTAATCGCTCCAAAGTGACTTGAAAGAGATGCAAATCTCTTGAAGAGTGTTCCGGATGGGGGGAATAAGAAAGGTGCAATTAACTAACACCGTTAGTTAGACCTGATACGGCAGAGTGGAAGTAGTCGGAAGCCCTCGGAGCAAAGATTTTGGGGTCTAAAGGTATTGACGTTCACGGATAGTACGAAGTATACTAACGCTAGATCGGATGCTTGCAACTTCTATAGTACCCGTTCCGCGTAGACCAAAAGAAAAACAAAACACAAGAATTGATCGTCTAAACTACGAATTATATTTCGGGACCAAGTCGGAGTGAACGATGTCACTGTAGTTGAAGATTGAACGATCAAAATTCATGGTTATTTTCTCAAACCCGACTCCTCCATATTTTTCGCGGGAGTCATCAATCCAGCAGTCAGCGTCTCATCGTTCGCTGTTCAGCGGAAGATAGGAAACTATCAGAAGTATTATCGTGATTTATTGTTATAACATTTATTCTTAGACCTTGTGTGCAATAACCTTATTGTTGGTTACATATTGGCGTAAGAATAAAGGATTCTCGAATCGCCAATCAGTGCTCTGGTTTTCGCGTCGGTTAATACAAAGTGTTTCTGAAAGCCAGATAATAATATATTTCTTCCTGTTTATGCAGGAACATGCCAATTGTACAGGCATGGATAAGTTATTATATAAATTACACAATTTGATGTATGATGAATTTACAGTTTGGTTGTTCTCTCTGACATGAGAGTCAGTCGGAACAGTCTGCTATAAAGTCTGTCTGTGTAGCACATAAAGAGATATAGAAATATTGTCTTCGCATTGTCTTCGAGGGACAGCGTGAGGTCCAGCGTAGTAAGAGCTGGACATTGACAGTTTACGAGAGTTGGCTGACACGGGATGATTGCTTAACTGGCTAGGAGTCGTGCACGGACGAACGAAAGTGAGGTGACACAGCATCAAATGGCGTAGACACTTGATCGGAAGCCTTAAGTCAAACAAATTGACTTAAACAGTGGGGGTTGGCATCCAATGCCCAGTGATGAATGCTGTGGCCAATAATTCTGGGCAAATACCTACCGCTACAAGATCTCACCATTAGGACCTTACTACTGAACCGTAGCAACTCACGAAGGAAAGATGCCAAAATCCTCTATGGCTCTGTCATTTCTTTTCGCACTCAGTTTGCTGCCCATCGAAATCTCAAGAAAGAGCTGCTGTACCTCGTGAGGTAAGCTTTAAGTGGAAGTTAAATAATCATGTTTGAACACACGGGTATACCTGTAAATTGTCCTCATAACGAGGTTAAGTTGTGGTCCCCATATATGGAACTTTGACGGCAACGTTTCAGCCACATTTGCCCCTTTGCTCTGCACAACTGTCGACTCATTCCTCTGCTTTCTGTGCCTGGTCACTATATACCTTTTTGTTTAACACTGTTTATCCACTTGATGGTTAACTTTTTTTGATATCAGCTTGGTTCCACGCTGTAGTTTTGCTACAAGTATGGAATTTTCATCATGGATATCGGTAGCCCAAATTTCGCAGGCCGACCATAGATATCAGGTGTGCATCGGTAGGGGATCGACTCTCGTGCGGACCACTCACTGGTCACAAAACATTCAGCCACGCACGTTGAAAAAATTAGCACGAAAACCAAAACCGTACAAAGTACGACCTTGGCGTTTCAATGCATACACAACATCAATAGCCGTCACAGTCTTCCTCTCCTCATGTTCCGTGTAGGTCACGGCGTCACGGATCAAGTTCTCCAAGAACACCTTGAGAACGCCACGAGTCTCTTCGTAGATCAAACCGGAGATATGCTTCACACCACCACGACGAACAAGACGGTGGATAGCTTGCTTGGTGATTCCTTGGACGTTGTCACGGAGAACCTTCCGATGTCTCTTTGCTCTTCCTTTACCCAATCCTTTACCACCTTTACCACGACCAGACATGATTCAAGAGATTGACTTGACGAGAACCGACATGAGATTTACATGATAACCATCGTTATTTCCCTTTTGCTATTACAATGGGTCACTAATGGGCGAAAACGCCTGGTGGTTAGAGCAGAGTCAAAGTCTTTACACATTGGGTATTACAGATAAAGTATAACATACCTCTGGTAACACTGGTGGTCCACAAAAACTACGCCACGTGATTTGTCAGACAACTCCAACAGCTCACCGAACCTAAGTAGCCGTTATCTCACTGTCAAGAAGTAGGCTCGCATTTATCACCCCAGCTTATCTTGCCCTGTATATATATTGAATATCGGAACCTCCCATAGTAATCTAAGTTCTCCAGACATACGACAGGTGACAATGCAGAAATCCATCAAAACTCAGAAATGTCTTTCTCATCAAAAATGATGAACAAATTTTCAATTCGGCCTGGGCTATTTTGTGGAAAGCAAATTGGATATTGAACAGAATCTGGTTTATACTAGCTCGTAATCAGGATATTGGATATTGTTTGTCTGCGCTAAATTACAATTACCAGTTTCGAGAGGTAAATGGAAGGCGGTTCGGTGCTTTTTTGGTTTCTGTGGTTCCTAATAGTCAGTGTTTTCATTGATGACGCCCACCAGAATCCTGACTTTTCAGTCGAGAAATTATTTGACGCATTTAAATATGGTGTAGATCCTGAAGTATATCAAAACATAGTAGGGTTGCATTCATTCCTAAAAATCATCTTACAGACAGAAATAATTTCTTCGAAAGGTTATACACCTCAGGAGCACTACATAACGACTGATGATGGATACGTGCTTTGTATAATTCGAATTTTGCCGAAGTGTGATCAACCTTTCAGTATGTTCCAGTTAGTAAAAATATTCTGCATATTCACAGGTAAACAAAAGGTTGTTTTTCTTCAGCATGGTCTCTTGGACTCTGCGCACACGTGGGTCAACAATCTTGGAAATGAAAGTTTAGGATTTATACTTTCAGACAATTGCTATGATGTGTGGATGGGGAATAGTCGCGGAAGCACATACTCGTCCAAGCACAAGTTCTTAAAACCGGAAGATAAGGAATTCTGGGAATTTTCATGGGATGAGATGGGCAAATACGACCTTTCTGCATCAATAAAATATGTCCTCGATCATACGAAGGCAGAAAAAATAAGTTATATAGGACATTCACAGGTTGGTGCTTTTCTTTATGAATTAATGGGTATATTTCGCGGAATACGGTTATAACGGCACCACTGACTTTTTATTATTTTGGTGTGAGGATGACATTTTACTTTATCGATTCTGAGATGTTGTGGTAACATGTGTTTATAAAGTATCAGAAGAATAATACGGTGATCAATAGAATATTCGAATCATTGGAGGAGTATAGCAAATTAAACTGAGTTGCTTTCTTAGGTAACAGCACATAACTGTCCTATGCAGTCCTGTTTCAGGTATACTAATCGATAAGACTTTAACTTCGATGTTTGAAGGTTTGTTCTTCTAACGGTGAAGTGCCCTGTTCACTTTTAATCCGTAGAATGTGTATAATCCTTCCGTCATCAAACATGTAGTGTCATAAGTCATCACAGTCTAGTTTATAGCTTGATAAATAGAAGTTTGGAAAGGCAATTTTCTGGTACTATCATTATTATAACTTCCTCTGATTGCTGCCATTTTAAGGTGTTCTTGAAAAATGTGTTTTCCTAATTACTGTCCGGAGTTTAGAGACAAGATATAAGGCATATATATATATATATATATATATATATATATATATATATATATATACGAAATATAGCCTGAGTCTGTCATTATCATGCCTATAAGTTGGACACTTATCATTAGATGATTATTTAATTGTGGTCATGACATAATTGAGGTATACACACTTCCCTTGATTAAATTATAGATTATGAAAATGCTTGTAAGATTACATGGAGGAATTCATCATGAGCTGACATGAGTTAGAGAACCATTGGAAAATCAGCCACAAGGAGTACTGGACAGCTGTTTCGTCCTAGTTTGGGACCCACCTTCAGGGTTCGAACCCAGGACCTTCTGGTTATAAGTCTAGCGAGCTCGTATACCATTAAGCCACTGGGACCCGATCCAGTGGTGTTTGATTCTAACTTCTACCAATTCACGACATAGCGCGACCATTTCCAATGTCTTGTGCTTCAATGAGTTATTGCCTCATCTGCAACCTGCTGCTGCACCCTACTGGTCACGGCTCCCCACTAGAACCCCAAGTTAACTGCCTGAATAGGGCCAGTGGCTAGTGAGTATCAGATGAATTTTCAGGTATTGGTTTCGCAGGGAATTTTGTTTGATTGCATGGAGAATTTCATCATGAGCTGACATGAGTTAGAGAACCATTGGAAAACCAGCTGGGAGTACTGGACAGCTGTTTAAGATTGCTGTAAGATTGCAAGATTACAAAAACAAGTATTGTTTTATTCATATGTAGTACTTTAAGTCATTTGGCTGCTTGAAAGTTAAAATGTTTCGCATCGAAGATACCCGAAAAAGTAGCAACGTACTTCTCTTATATTGAATTGTTTATTGATCCAAAATGTAACATTAACCATTCAAAGCAAAGTCAATATCTCTCTAAACCTGAATTATTTCGATTTATTCAAGATTGTGGAAAGAAAGAATTCATGTTGTTGCAAAACTTACTTGTTTCTTAAGCCATACGTATATGCCATTGAATTCGGAAGGTCAACAAAACACTTGTGAAGACCTTAATGCCTGGTATTCGGAAAGTTGGTGAGTCTATCTATGATTCCATGACAAAATGATACCCAACTACGTGGCAGGACTTAGGTTGACTTCTGGCACTACGTAACTTAAGAAAAAAGGGAAGACAAGGCGTACGGCTTGCAACCCCACCACTTCAGAGTAATGCTATCGTTACCGAAAGCTCTAAATCTCCACTAGGGCGACAAATGAACGAGAAACAGTTCGTGTGGCTAAGAAGAACACTCTTTGCTAATAGAAACAAATGACAGCTTTACCACTGGTTTGCATGCTTTTTTGTTTTCCAGTGCAATCTACGTTCTTAAAAGAAACAGAGGGAAAAAGGTATTTTTGACTGGACATTAGTCAGTAAATAGTGTAATGTGTCTAATCCTATATCTACCATTACCCATTCTGTTTCACTCTTATACTTGTCAAACTCTATTGATTCTCTTCACTCATCTTCTTGTCTACCTCTGTGTGCTATTTGGAACGTGGCAACTCGAACTGCTGCACTTGGGTGCCAAGTTCTATGTTGAATCCAGACAGATATCTTTGGTGCACACTGAATTCTATCAGTCAAGTTTACAATGTAGCCACTGTTCAGTGTTTATGTTGTCATTACTAGTTTCACAATTATTTTTATTTTGGACTTTTCTGATCTTTCTAATGAATTTTATAGGATATTTATTTGATACCGACGCCTATTCTATCTGTTTTATTTCATTATTTGTCTTTTCTTGTACCACTTAGTGCTACTACTCTATTTGTTAAACAGACAATTAACTAAGCCTGCCTTAACGGTTAACGGATGAGATAAATTGAAGTTTAAATATCTATTAGCAGAATGCGTTGGCATTTTATAAACGCCGCTAGTATGCAGTTTACCTTCTTCTGTTCATTTTATTTTAGAATCTAACGTCATAGCTAATTCTCCTTGTTCATTTTCCGATTCAAATGTGAAGTTTCTTCCCTATTCATATGTTAGTTATCCATACAACTGTTTTGATGTCGTGCATAGTTGGTATGATTATTTATTCTCATTATCCTTCCTAATAAAAAATAGTGAGCGAATTATGAAGTATACTTCGAGCAAAATCAGTAGGCTTAAGGATATATGGTATGTATTTGTACAAAATAACATAAACTGTGCTTGTTTTAGATACAAAATCACTAGTAAGTATGCTTACTTTGTAATTCCTCAAGTAAATCTGTATTTAGTTACAGGATTTCATCATTAGCTGACATCATGTTAGAGAAACCAGCTAGGAGTACTGGACAGGCAGCTGTTTCGTCAGCCTAGTTTGGGACCCTGATCAGCACACACTCACTGCAAGGGTTCGAACCCAGAACCTTCTGGTTACAAGGCGAACTAGCTCATAGACCGTTAAGCCACTGAGACACGACTGATCCAAAGGCCAGCCCATAAATTCTAACTTCTGCCAATTCACGACATAGTGCAACTGCTAGCCAATTTGTCCTCTGACCCGACCTGCTGCACCCTACTGGTGACTATCCCTACAAACTAATATTTAAATCTGTATTTTCTAAGGCAATCTCCAAGATTATTTATTGCTGATTGTATTCATTAATTTTCATGCATAGAGAGAGAGTGAGAGAGAAAGTAAATGCAGTTTAATTGACTAAATTCTACGCAAAGTTCTAATTTGAAATGTAAATCAATTACAAAATTTTTAACACTGAAACATTTTTCATGGTTGGAACTAATAAATGCTTCAGTGCCATCTCACTGTCACTGACTATTATATTATTATTATTGTTATTGTTCCCTTGGGTCCCTAGTGGAATATAGGGCTTCAACTGTACGTCTCCATTTGCTTCTGTCTTCTGCTGTACTTTTCACCTGAATCCATGTTAGTCCATATTCTTTCAACTCCTCTTCACACGATCTCCCCCATGTCATCTTTGTACTGACGACTCACTCGCCGCTTCCCTTTCGGGTTCCACTCGAGTGATGGCCTGACGCGCGCTTTATCACCCAGCGGCCTCCTCAGCGAGTGTCCAATCCATCTCCACTTTCTCCTGCATATTCGTTGTTTGGCGATTGGTTCTTGTTTTGTTTGTTTTGATAGTTTCTTGTTGGTGATTCTTTCTGGCCCGGCCATCTGATCTTCAGTACAGATCGAAGACAGTTATTTGTTGATAAAGGTCTGCAACAGGCTGTTGGAAATATTCTTTGTGACCCACCCGCCAAGTTTCTGATCCGTATAGGAGAAACGGCTTGATGTTTGTGCTGAAAATCCGAATTTTGTTGTAGGTACTGAGTGACGAAGATTTCCAAATTGGTTTCAGGGTTGATGAATGTGTTTCTCGCCTTCCCGATTCTTGATCTGACTTCCTCGTCTGTTCCTCCAGTAGCTGAGACAATGCTTCCTAGCCAGCTAAGTGAATGAAGTGACCTCTTTCAAATCCCTCCCGTTGATGGTGATTGACGCTGGATGTTGCTGCTGTTGTTGGTTGGTTGGTTGGTTATTTTCATAACCTCCGTCTTGTCTATTTTCACCTGGAGTCCTGTCTCTGCCGGCTGCTTCTTCGACCAGTTTGTCGGTTTCCGCTTGTAAGTCTCCGATTTTGTGACAGTGACATCAAACATAAATCATCCAGGCGCGAAATCCAGGTCTTCTAGGTCCTTCCCATTGGTCGGTCCAGGATATCCCTGTCTTCTCGTTTCCCACTCACTGTCTGATGCATAATCCGGTCAGTCCACCACAATTAGGAATATCATTGATTGGTGATAATAAGCACCCTTGTCTGACTCCTGTGTTTACTCCAAACGCCTCTCTGAGTTTTCCGTTGCAGATCACTTGACATGTGCGGTTGTCGTACAGCTGTTGAATAAGGTTGGTGAATACTTGATGTACACTGACTATTAAATGTGTAAATCAATTTGACAGAAAGGTGCATTCTGATCCAGAAAAGAGTATCAAAATTAGATGAGTTTATTTCATTGATTGATACAAAATACAGTATCCATAACTGGATGGCATTTTGAAGGCAATAATTTTTTTGGTTCATAATCCTATCCCAATCAATGTATGTATCACGTGATTAAACAAATCTCCTTTCTACCTTGTTTATTGCATATTTATTTCATATTTCACTATAGGTGGTTACGTCATTTCGACTGTACATTCTTGATGTTGATTCGATGAAGAAATATTCAGTGGTTAACTACACTACTTTTTTAATACTTTTTTTTATCCTATCTCATGACTACCAAACAGTAGAATTCCTTCTAGCTCTAGTTAAATTCCTACATTCTGACAATCTAAACTGATCCCGGATCTACTAGTTTTACCTAGGCAACTGACTATGCAGCTATTACTTGGTATTTCGTAAATTACAGTTTTTTTTTTTCTCTTAATTCGATCATTAAGCCACACAGAGTTCGCCTCTGAGTGTGTGGGTTAGTTTAAATGCCAACATAATTATAAATTTTTCACTTAAATTAGTTTCATACATTTATTCCCCTTAATGAATTTGAACAATGCAAGAACTACAGTTTTAGCAGAATAAAATGGTACCATCATGGCTTATTTCGTTGCCTTCTCGTCAGCTGCTTACATGGCAAAGACATTATTAAATATATCTACAACAACAATTTTAACATACTTGCACAGAGTTCAGTTTAAACAAAAATCAATCGATCAATATACTCATACACTAAAAATATATACATATATAAATATGCAATATTAACCACTATTCCGAACAATAATAATCAAACACAATGGAAACTTTTAGCATTTCACATTCTGAGGAAAGAGAGGTGAAATTATCCAGTTACCAGGGCAAAGAAAGGCTGATAGCCGCTTCTTTCTGGACGCATAAATCAGGTTTCATGCGCTTGATGGAAATGGCTTCAGCAAACTTAAGGAGAATTGAGCTATTTTGTTTATTGATAATTTTGAACGACTTTTCGACGTCCACCTCATGACCCGTGTCGAGAAGATGCCTGGTGATGGTATACAAGGTTCGATAAAAAATTTGCCAATATTCTTTGAAAATGTTTTTTTTTTAAAAAAAATCAGTCATTTCTGTAGTCTACAGATTACTTCTCTCCTTCTTCCACAATGCTAAACCTCAGAATCCTCAGAATATTATCTAACATTTACTGTCTAGTGATGTGCATAGCTGGCACAATGGTAGAATGCTTGCCAACCACGCATGTGGTTCAGGGTTCGATCCCCGGCTGATGCACTCCTCTACCTTGTTAAGTCAGGATTAAGACTGGTAAAGAGGGAAGGTTGGACATGAGGCCGGCATCAAATCCATCCCGTAAAAATTAACACCGCTGCTACTGAAACTTCAAGCTTCTAGTTTGAAACCCCCAATGTTTCACTGGAGGAACGTAAAGGAATAAAAAAATGGTTACAGGATATCATCTTGAGCTGACATTGGTTAGAGAACTATTGGAAAACCAGCCACAAGGAGTACTGGACAGCTGTTTTGTCCTAGTTCGGGACTTTTAAGCAGTACGCACCTACCGACAGGTTTTGAACCCAGGACCTCCTGATTAGAAGGCTAGCAAGCTCGTATACCATTAAGCCAATGGGACCTGACTGGTCCAACGGCCAGCCCATGAATTCTAACTTCTGCCGATTCACGGCATAGCGTGACCGCTAGCCAATGTCATCGCCGGTGAGTATTTGTCCTCACACCCTACCTGCTGCATCCTACTGGTAACAACTTTTCACTAGAACCCCATGTAACTATCTACCTGAATAAGGCAAGTCGCTAGTGAGCATCTCATTGATATTCAAGTGTTGGTTTGTAGGGATTTGATTGGTTACAAGATTTCATCGCCAAAGACATTGGCTAGTAGGCGCGCTATGTCGTGAATTGGCAGAAGTTAGAATTCATGGGCTGGCCGTTGGATCAGTTGGGCCCCAGTGGCTTAATGGTCTATGAGCTAGCTCACCTTGTAACCATAAGTTCCTGGATTCGAACCCTTACAGTGGGTGCGTATTGACGAAGAGTTTCAATTTAAGCAGATAAAAAAGCTGGCTGTCCGGTACTCCCAGCTGGTTTTCCAATGGTCCTCTAACATGATGTCAGCTGACCATGATATCCTGTAACCAGTCAAGTCCCTGGAAACCAACACTTGAATAAAAAAATGGATTGTTTGTTTTGGAAATGTACATGAGGAGATAGCAAGACTAGAGTAAACTTATGAAATTAGTAATTGGGCAAAAAAATGTCAGTGGTATTTCAGTGTGTACATAATATATATGTAGGTCGAAGTAATCAGATGATATTTGTTTTAAAAAGTGCTTACTTTCTTATCTAGAAACATCAAGTCACAAAATAAAATAATTTATTACTCTGTGGGCTTTATTATGCTATCTTACTCATGGATAATTTTATTAGATGGGATAAATTACATTACTGATGGATTGAGGTGTTTCTCTCTTAGACAACCAACAAGCCAGCTATATTCTGCCTTCCTGGACTGTTGGAAAGGCGTATCAAAGAAGATTGGTCTCAAAAAATGAAGCATCTGTGGCTAACAGTGAGATATATACTGTATCGGTGAAACTCTACACCATCTCCAAATATGCTCTTTTTGATTGGCGGTTTCTGTGATTACGCTACACTAGTTCTTTTTTCTTCAGTTATTTCAGAGAAAAATGAAATCCCACGATTTGGATAGTCGACTGAGATGGCTAGCGTATGTCAAACTGAGGCTTTCTCCAACGACTAATCTCCACTGAAATAAGGATTGGGCTGAAAAAAGATCTAATTTGTTTAATAGTGAAGCTTTATTTTAGACAGTAAATGAACATATAATATAGAAATTTTTAGCGTATTTACTTTCAAAATATTTCCTTTCTTTCAATGCAACATTTACACGTCAAGTGATAATCTGAAGCACATGATGTAACATGGTGTTATCGCATATGAAGACAGAACCAAATCAGTAGATTTTTTCTTCATTTCTTTCAAGAATTGCACGAGGTCCTGGGTTCGAACCCTTGCAGTGTAGATGCGTACTGATGAAGAATCTCAGGCTAGGAAGACGAAACAGCTGGCTGTCCAGTGCCAGTGCTCCCTGTTGCTGGTCTTCCAATGGTTCGTTCTCTAACTAATATCATCTCATGATGAAATCCTCCAACCGATGCACAGTGTTTTGTTGAAAGCTAATTAAAGATTTGCACGAGTCCATATCACAGTGGTCATTCAAAATATAAATTGCATGATTAAAAAAATAATAAAGTACAAAGAAGTTTTAAGGATTTTTTAATGAATAGAAATTTTGGTGATAGCCTGATAGTTCGAGTAGGCTGCCCTGGTGGTCAAACCAAAAAAGAAACAGCGTTAGTCCATGTTTCAAGTGTGTTACATTCAAAGGCCTAGACTACCTCGTTCACGACGGTGGTACTTCTTGAAGATTCAGAAAATTCTTGATAATCTTTCATCCAATTCCTTTTTATTCTGTACTTTGGTTTGCTAATTCTAGTTTCTCTAACATATTTCTTTGCTCTATTAGAGATGGTTGGAGGTAATCGGCCACAGGAAGCTCAGCTTGAACCTATTTTTCGTGCTACCTACCACCTAATATCATCAAATCTGTGTATATTGTGATGGCAAACTACCCTACAAAACATGATGGTCACATTTCAAACCTGACTGACTGATAGAGTTTTAGTTTGCACCAAAGAAAGAAACGGCTAGACACATTATACCATTTGCTGACTAGTGTCTAATCAAAGTATTCTTTTTTGCTCTACTTTTATCTTCTTTCTCTTTTATGGGGTGTTGCATTTGAAGCTCAGACTTCAGTAGGAAGTTCTGCGTTGAGATGAGTCAGTCGTGCATAAACTTTGTTCCACTAATGTGTATATTTAGTTAGGGTATAAACATCAACAGGAAGATTGATATAGTAAAATGTTTTGTTCACTTTAGTTTGGGCGTTTTGTCGACTGCAGTCTGTAGTCTATTTTTTCTTCTTCCTCTTCTTCTTATCGATGTTTTCTTTCTGTATTTGGGTATTTCTTTTTGATGTTATGCATACATTATTAGAAGGTGAAATTAAAACTAGACTGCGTGAACCTTATAGATAACAGCTGCCTGCCACAGCTTACTTGGAACACATTACTCAATGAATAACTCAGCATTAAGATTTCAAGTATTGGTTTTGCATGGATTTCGTTTGATTGGCTGGAGCATTCCATCATGAGCTGACATCAATTAGTGAACCGTTGGAGAACCAGTTGGGAGTACTGGACAGCCAGCTGGTTCGTCAGCCTATTTTGGGACTCTTCAGCGGCACCCACCCACCCACCAGAGAAGACTGCGAAGTGGTCGCGCTATGTCATGAATTGGCAGAAGTCAGAATTCATCAGCTGGCCAGTGGCTAAACGGTCTATGCGCTTGTTAGACTTGTAACCAGAAGCTCCTGGATTCCAACCCTGTTGGTGGGTGCGTAATGATGAAGGTTCGTAGACTAGTACGAGACAGCTAGCAGTCCAGTACTCCCCACTGCTGGTTTTCCAATAGTCCTGTAACTGATGTCAGCTCACGATGAAATCCTTTAACCAAATAAAGCTTCAACCAATTAAATCTGAACAATCTGATCTTTCTAAAATTTGCCTTTTTTATTTTAGGGTTGTCAAGTTGTGCTAGCCTGTTTCACTGAATATCCGGAGCTGCAATCCCGTGTCAACTTATTTATTGCTCTTGCTCCGGCTGTTTATCTTGGCTCTATGCGAAGTCCTATACGTTTCATAGCACCGTATATAAAAGCTGTAGAACCAGTTGTTGAATGGTTTGGAAATGGTGAATTTTTACCATCAAATAAAATTATTCAATTTTTGGGCACATTTTTATGCAAATCAAATCATATACCTTTTGTTTGTAGTAATATAATTTATTTGATGGTGGGATACGATGCAAGAAATACAAATGAGGTAAGTCACACTATAAAAAAGATATTTAGCATTCGTTTAAATGTATGTTTAAGTTATTTCAATTGTTTTTTTGATCATTATAACAATAAGTTCTAAATATTAACTTTAGGGTAATATGAATATAAACTAGAGAACCATTGAAAACCAGCCACAGGGGTACTGTACAGCCAGCTCTTTCATCCTAGTTTGGGTATCATTGACAGTACGCACCCACATTGTGGGGTTCGAGCCCAGGACCTTCCGGTTAAAAGGCAAGCTGACTCGTATATCATTCAGCCACTGGGACCCGATACAATGGCCAGTTCAAGAATTCTAACTTCTACCAATTCATAATTTAGCGCGACCCTAACCATTGTCGTAGGTGGGACATCCATCCTCATATGTGACATCTGAGTGGACCACAATGTAACGACAACAAATACTATGTTTGAAATCAGTTAGCTGATGGTGACTAGCAATGGGATTCAAGATTCGCATTTTATCCTATTTGGGGCTCATCAACTAGATGTACTTGCATTCCCCAGTCATTGAGTGATGGTGTTCCCACCGAAAGCACATCTAGTCGTAAATAGAATGAAATGCGCTTTATCCTAGATTCCACTGCTAGTCACCATCAACCGATTGACTTCAAGTAACATGACCAGACGTCTTCGAAGCATTTGCACATGGAGTCGACATGTCAACCTGAGACTGAGCACTTCGGTTTAATCAATCGATTGACAAGGAAATCTAAACTGAATTAAATATATTATATTTTATAATTGTAAGAACCTGAAGAGAAACTATTGAAGAGAATATTCTTCGTCTAGATTGACTTTTAGTATTATTTATAGACGATCTTATTTTTATTGACATTCACTAAGGAAAAATTCGGTGCTAGAAGACACTGTCACTGGAAATGTGATGTTATTAGATAGTTAGAGGCAATCAGCAGGAAGCCTTGGGCCTAGGATTTGTGTTAGTTGGCACTCACCAGTCAGTAAGGCATATCTGGAACCTTGAAGGAACTCATGTCCCTTCTGAGATTCGAACCCGCATCACCCAGTGAGTTCTGCAGTCAGAGACGTTACCACCTAGCTATTCGGGCTTATTATTTATCATTATTATTATTTTTTTGATTTACAGCTTGATTCCACACTGTATTTTTGGTACAAGTATGGAATTTTCAGCATGGATATCGGTAGCCCAAATTTTGCAGGCCGACCATAGATATCAGGTGTGCGCCGGCGTGGGCTCGAATCCGGACCATGTGCATGGTCGGCGAGAGTCCTAACCACTGTGCCACCGACGCACTTTACTTAACCAGTAGTATATGTTCAGTGTATCCGATTAATAAAAATTAATTCTTGCTTCCAATTCCTTGGACTGTATAGATTGTGTAATACTCTGACAAGCGAAATTCATGCATTCATATTTATTTCATGAAGGTTATTATACTGACTACCAATTATTCCATTTTCATTTATGATACTAATCGGCTTGAAATATCTTCCGCTTGAGCTAAATATGTGCATTGCTTGCTTTCACCGCTATAGAATTATCAGGAGTTATCAATACTCCTGAAGTATAAACGATACCTCTGTTTGTGACTTCATTATCCTGTTGTTCCCTTAGGTTCCGAGTGGAACATATGACTTCAACAACATATCTCCACTTGTTCTATTTCCTGCTGTCCTCTTCATCTGGCTAACTCCACGACTGACTATAATCTCTCATCTCCTCCTCACCACCACACGACCTCCATGTTACCCTCATACCGACTACCCAATCGTCGTTTTCAATCCAGTTTCCACTCGAGCAACAGCCTGCATTGCGCGCAATACCATTCGATGGTATCCTCAGTGGTGTGTGTGCCCTGTTCATCTTCATTTTCTCCTACATATTTGTTAAACAATAGGTTCTTGGTTAGCTTGTTCCCAGCCAGAGTCTCTTGTTGCTAATTCTTTCTGGCCGCCCATTTAATCTTTAATAAAGAGCCCGTGAAGGCAGCTGTTAATAATAAAGGCCTGTGACTGGCTGTTGCAAATGCTTTTTGTGATGTATCAGCCGACTTTCTGACGCATATAAAAGTGGTTCCAGGTTAGAATACAGGCTGGGCCCCAAAACCTCGCCCCTAGTTTACTAGCTCGTTAGTTTTCTAGCTGGTCCAAAGCCTCCAAAGAAGGTGAGACGGTTGGGCTAGTGACCGTCATCGGGAAAATCAATCAAACTGTCACAGAAACTTCAACCCACACACACACACACACACACAAAAGGAAACCTACTAGTAGGCTTAAATCACTTTCATTTTCTGCATACAACAGCCCAATTTAAACTTACTGTAATGTCTTTTGTAGTTTAAGTTTGTTTTGTTATAATTATTGTTTAGATTGCAAATCTTATACTTGGGTGTTTATTTATCAAAACATGACCTTGGAGCGTGCATTTCATCGTCACGCGATTTCATATAGATTGATTGCATTTACGATTAATGCCAAACTTCTATCCTACTTCCGATTACGATTATGTATGTTCACATTTTATGTTAGTTACACAAATGTTAAGGACAGTGAAAACGCTCGGCTCAATTCATTTGTGTTACCCATTAAACATGTGATCAAGGTGTAGTTTAGCTTACAATGGTGTCAATGAACTTAAGCCTAAGTTCCTATTGTAACGAAGACGCTCCAAACCGATAATTACTATGACGGTTTCTTGACTTTAACTCCAAAACACCAGTACTTGTAAGAGAGAAGTTGTGTTGTTTGGCAATTAAAAAGTTTGGATGAGTACAAGTTTTTATTCGTATTCTTTCGTCTTCTTCCAACTTGTACCCGATTGAAAACATTTGCGCCTTTGAGTTGCCCGACAATGGCTACCAAGGTCAATGAACCAACGTTCAATGTTCATATTCCTTGAAAAATGGTTAGTAAAGTTTTCCTCAGTTTACCTGAATGAATGGCTTTTACTCTATTATTATAGTATGCTGGTGTCAAAAAGACAATTTAAAGAATTTGTGTATGTGTGATTGAATTCACACTGAGTTAATATATGAGGATTTGAAAACAGAAACCAAATATATATATATATATATATATATATATATATTTGTGACCAATTTAGATCACGAAGAGGGTGTATTGATTATGTCTTCACCCTTCGGCAGATTCCGGACCTTTCTTGACCGGAAAGCAGCATTCGATTCTGTAGACCAAGAGGTACTATGGTAATGTTTGACCATAAAGTAAAATGCCAACAAAATACATCTCAATGATCAAGGCACCCTGCTAGAACTAATACAACCAGCTAACAGCCTACGGAGAGTAGTCATCTGAAGTGGTAACAACCAGTGGTGCCCTTCACGCATATCCACTGTTCCCATTTGTGTTTAATTTCACTATAGATTTACTAATGGTCTTGACCCTAAGTGACTTCAGCGACCCAGGGATTTTCAAGTGGTGGTTTGTAGGGATTTGATTGGTTACAGGATTTCATCATGAGCTGACATTAGTTAGAGAACCATTGGAAAAGCTGGGAGTACTGGACAACTGTTTCGCCCTAGTTTGGAACTCTCCAGCAGTACACATCCACCGAGGTTCGAATCCGGTATACGAGCTCGCCTTATAACCAGAAGGTCCTGGGTTGGAACCCTTGCAGTGGGTTCGTTTTGCTGAAGAGTCCCAACCAAGGTGGACGAAACAGATGTCCAGTACTCTCAGGTTTTCCAATGGTTCTCTAACTAATGTCAGCTCATGATGAGATTCAGGGATTGACTTGTTACCACCAGGGAATAATCTCGTTGACTTGGAAAATCGATCAATGAGGTTGTGAAATTATATCGATTGAGATGTTTAGGATATGTGTTATGCATGCCTAGCCATCGCCTGCCTCTATGGGAAATGTTGGGGAACAGCTAACTAGTGATGTTGAGACCAAAACATGGTCTCATTAGCCAGTGAAATCCCCAGCAGTTAGTTTGAACCAGCTACGTCTGAAGGTGTTGTGGTCATCGGGATGGTAAGTGGGCAGAGACAGGTGGTGATAATGGCTGGAAACCATTTTCAGTGGCTATTGCAGATGCCTTCACTCTTTATCATTTATAATATTGAATAAAACTCTATTGTCATTCCATATTACCATTTTTTATATCTGACACTTCTGTTTATTGTCCCTCTTTACTCTCTCTCTTCTCTCTTACTTTGTGTGCTACATGGGGAGGGTGAGTGGCTGCATGAACTGCTACACATCTGTGTAAGGTTCTATGTTGAGAAACCAGTTAGTTAGTCAGTTGAACCAATAATGTGGAATAGGTTGATGATTCCTGACAACAGCACTTGACTGTGTGTTCAGTATGGTTTACTTATTATGCAATTGTTTTTACTGACAAAATTTCAGCCGTATTATTTAAACAAGATATCTTGAAGAATTATCTTATTGCTTACTATTTATTTCTAATGTGAAAAGATAATTAGTCCTGAACTATAATTTTTTATTCAATGGGTTTAGCAGCTGGCATGACATAATCTCTAAATGGAGAAATATAACACTCGCCGACCATGCACATGGTCCGGGGTTCGATCCCCGGCCACCGACGCACTCCTTTACTTCACTAAGCCAGCAACAATGCTGGTGAAAAGGAAAGCTTGGGCATGAGGCAGGCTAGCAACCCCATCCTTTAAAAACAGACACAACTGCTACAGAAACTTCAAGCCACTAGGTTGAGGCCCTATGTTACACTAGGAACGTGAAGGAAACAAAATGCTGAGTGATAACAAACATGGTTGTGTCTAGTCCTAGCTATATTCACCAAGGTCTGTTGAGTTTGCAGTTTATTTAGTATGTTGAGTACAACAAAAAAAAACAGTAAATTTTGTTTTAGTATTTGCTTTTAAGAGTTACTCAAGTGTTGGTTTGCAGGAATTGGATTTGACTGGTTATAGAATTTCATCATGCGCTGAAACCGGTTAGAGAACCATTGAAAGACCAGATGTGTGAGTACTGCAGTGCTGTGTCGTCAGTCT